TTTTTTTTTTTTTTTTTTTTTCCTGTTTTTTCCTGTAAGAATCTCTGGGATATCCAGTTCAAGAATGGTGCATCATAACTGTGAGCTTTCAAATATTTAAAAGTATTTTCTTCAAGTAATCTAAAATTTTCTAAGACAAAATTTTTAAAAACCTACTAGACCAAACTCAGTTTACCAACATAAACTGGCAAGGCCCTGTTGAGTATCATTAAGATCCTTTTAAGATCATGAATATGTGTGCGCGCGTGTGTGTGTGTGTGTGTGTGTGTGTGTGTGTGTGTGTGTTTGGGGCATGCATGAGCACATACACCTTACATACTTTTATACTTTGACAAAAAAAAAATACTATCTCAAATCATGCTTGACATCCTACCCTGTGTTGACATAGCTCTTCGGGTTATGAGGCAGTTACCCAAAGAATCCACTGCTTTGCACCCTCATGGAGCTGGTAATTTTTGGTCAGCAGTGTCATGTGAGCAAAGAGCTAAGGGAGGCAGGAAATATAGCATACAAATCACTCAAAGGCGAAAAAACGTCTAAAGCTCTGAAGACAGAGCTTACTGGGCCAATTCAAGCAAAAAGCAAATGGTGTGTCAAGAATGAAGTGAGGAGGGATGAAGGGAAGAAGATGAGACCACAGAAAGGGGGACTGGGCCACACAGCGACACCCAACACTGCAGAGAAAGGAGGACAGAAGTCGAGCCATAGGGAACAGTGGACCTACTAAGGTTAAACTGAGCCAAAGCAGAAGTCAGGCTGACTCCTGCAGCAGACAATGTCCTGTAAATGGAGATTCCTACCTCCTAACAGGCTGTGCAATTTTGCTCCGAGGCAGATTACTCCCATTTATTGCCAACGAAGGTCGTGGAAGTGCACTCCGGCCCATGATCCCAGAAGCTGCAGCTTTGTTCGGGGTAGGGATTCCTGTGTTGGAATACAGCTGGAGGCCATTGGATAGAGGCATGTTACTGCTGCCTTGAACGGTTGGACTCACATAGGCTGTGGCTTTAAGGGGCTGTCGGACAGACACGGGGAAATGTCCCACGCTGTGGACCCTGTGTTGAATCTGTCCTGGTGATGGAACTGGAAGAGACAATGGTAGACATGTGAGAAAACCTCTACTGCCACCCAATTTAGGAAGCATGCTATATTCGGAGGGGCCCAGACTGTCCAAAAGGAAATAAATGAAACATAGATTCCAGATACCTTTTAGTATTAGAAAATTTTAATCTTGGACAAGAGCCTCCCACTCAACAACATTGTGAAGTGCCTTAACTACATGTGACCCTTGGACCAAGTGGAGGCTGGGCGTGAAGATACCACACAGTGAAGATACAAGGACACATTCTGACTCCCCCAAAGCTTCACCTATAGCTTGCTGTTGTCCAGAAGCTATGCCAACAACCTAAGGAGTTAATTATTAGCTATTCTGTATAGTATGCATACTATATAATGGTGGAGAATACTGAGAAACTGTAAGAGACCACTTCAGACTGTGCCTTGCAGTTTACTGCAGAGACTCTTGCCCTCTGGGAGATGGTCGCATCCCAGCGCATTTGCAAGGGATGCTTGCAATGCTCCAGCTACCCCATAGCACCAGGAGATGGTGCGAAGTCATTGCAGCAGTGCAGTATGTCTTCAGAGCTGATTGTATGCAGTTATGAGTCAATACTTTATCTTTAAATTCATTTATGTCTCTAAAATTGAGAATGCAGCTATGTATGTCTGTAAATATTTGTATGTGTAAATTTCTATAAACTTTAACTTTGTATATATTTTATACTGGTAAATAAAAACAGACCCTTATCTGTATCTATTTTGTGCATGAATGACATATCTTTTTTTCCCATATTGCTAAGCTACAAGGTTTGTCAGCAAGTTTTTTAAGAATTGCTACTTATCTCAAAAAAATTTTCACATGTATACCAACTCATAAAGTTCAAACCTGTGTTGTTGTGCAAGGGTCACCTGTACACTTAGAAGCCAGCTCTAAGGACAGCATTCCTTCCTTGAGCAAGTTTAGTGATGCTAATGATCTCTGAGTTTTTACAAGACAGATGCTTCCTGGCTTGCTTGGAGGACATTAGGATTTCTTCATAGTTGTTCTGGGGATAGTTTCATGAAGATAAACATGGGGCTAATTTAACCATTGTAATTATAAAAAGGAAGACAGAAGCAGTATCTGTATGTACAGATCGCTTATTACAAACATTTCTTAAAGAACATTATGACACTTATCTCGAAAGGTTGCTTTGAAAATTACATAAATTAATCTACTTAAAACCTCAGAATGGTGCCTGGCACTTAGCAACCACTCCATCCAACAAGTACCAGCTGTTCTTAGCTATATAACAACCATTAATCCCAATCAGTTTTCAAAGTGAATGTGTTGAAGTAGCCACTTCCTACCTCGGATGTACAATGTCGCCAGAACCCCTGGGGTCCCACAGGTCGGCTCCCACGCAATCCTCCTGAGACTTGACTTACTCCTGCCTTTATCATCACACCCTGGCTCTCCTATCTTGAACTTCATACAAATGTAATTAGATAATATGTTCTCTTTTGTATGTGCCTTTTCTATCCAACATTATGTGTCAAGATCATACATGTAATAGTCCATTGAATAAGCATCACAATCCATTTATTCTCCTGTTTATGGAAGACCGAATTATTTCACTTGGGATTTGATGAACATCCTTGAACATGTTTTGGTTACCATATTTACTTATTACATTGGACATATATCAAATTCTGTAACTATTATGATAAAGGAATTTAGCAAAGTTTTTGGATGCAATATCAAAATACAAAAATCTACTGTACTCTGAATACCAGCAAACTAGGAGAAACTAAAACATTATACATAAAACCACAGCTAGAAAAGTTAAGTACAGATATATTAAACCTCTATACAGAAAGCTACAAAATATTTCTGAGACACATTGAAGACTTAAATCAATAAAACATTGACTATTCCATGTATAATGAAGATCAATTAATATTGTTAAGATTCTCCCAAAATTGGCCTATAGATTCAATGAAACTCTAATCAGTTTCATCTGAAATAAAATTATAGACCAGTTTTCAGCTAGTCCTATTATCTTTCCCTGCACAAGACAGATAATCGCTCTTGATTTAAAAAGAAAACAAAAAACAAAGAGAAATTAGTTAAAATTACTTTAATTCTAATTTATAAATTAAAAATGAATCCAAATATTTTTGAGTTTATAATTCAGAGTTTATAATTTAGATATGTGTGGCTTATATCTAGATGTCCCCCCAAAACCTCACGTACTCACACACGGGGTGTTTGGGAGGTGCCTAGGCCGTGAGGGTGTGATGCACATCAACAGACGGGTCACTGGTGCATTGATAGCTACATGGGGCATTGGAAGGCGAAGTCTGAGCTGAGGAGTGGAGTGATGGGGTGTGGCCTGTAAAGTCTACCTCCCCTGATTGTCTCTGCTCCCCACCACAGCCATGAGCTGACCCTCCTGCCCTCCTGTGCCATGGCCCTCTGCTTTGGAGCCACCCCGCTGTGGACTGCAACCTTTACACACTGAGCTAAAATAAACCTTTCCTTGGTACCATGGGGATGCTGGGTATCTTGTCTCTGCAATGAGAAAACTAACTACAACTAGGGTTCTGACTACTGCAGTGTTTTTCTTTCCCTACTATGCCACTACCCAACTTTCTCTACCTGATCTTTGCTCAATCCAGAAAATAAAATTATAATTTTCACAACAGAAACTTAAAATGCAATATACAAAGAACAGCAACTCAGAATGCTCAGGAATGCATGTGATAACAGAAACCTAAGATACCAAAGCCAAGTCCTGACTCTACTACCACAGAAGACACTCTTCTTGAGAGTTTTCTTCCAGTATTATGCTGACTTATAAATAGTGAATTTTCTATTGTTTTTCACTCCTTTTATATACTTAATTTAAATATGGACCACAGGTATTTATTTTATTCTATTAGCTCCAATCCAATTTGAATACAAGGAGTCTCCTCAAATTGACTTCTATATCCTTTTGCTAAGTTCGCACCATATTATAAGCACTCTAAAGAGAGATATTCTATCTATATGTATTTCAGCTCTATTGAGGGTTAGATTTTTCTGCCCTTTAACTGTTACTAACACATATGGGGTTGGAGTCAACAAAAATTCCTAATCAGTAACGTATTTGTTATTATCAAAACCTTATTTGTCCTACCATATCCTATTGACTTTTGTAACACTACTATAGAACTGCACATTTCAGTTAAATTTCACTGTGATATAGCTGACCTACTGTCTAAGCTCCTTAGATAAAATTAGCGACATTTGCAGTTGCGCGCCATTAGCAAATGCACAGATTACTTGCATGTCTTTACACAAGTCATTCATTCAAATATCCAACAAGTGAAGCCCTAACACCTAATTCTATGGCACGTATTCATTCATTTTTATGGTTAGGCACTGGGAAGAGAAAAGTAAATAAACCAGGGTCTGAACTCAAGGGATCTTATGATGTGGTAAGAAAGACACACGCACTGACAATAAAGCATGGACCAGGTTCAATATCCTTTACTTGAAATATTGGAGACCAAAAGTATTTCAGATTTTTCTGGATTTGGGACTATTTGCATATACATGATGAGGTATTTAAGAAATGAACTAAATTCTAAGTGCAAGATTCATTGATGCTCTATAAATACATAGTTTGAAGGTGACTTTATATATTTTTCATAATTTTGTGCAGAAAACAAATCTTCACTTGAGGATTTTCTATTTGCAACATCATATTGAAATGGAGAAAATAAAAATTACTTCAGACACACTAAGATACAGCTATATGCGTAGGGAACCATACTATGGAATGATGAACACCAAGATCCAAGTTCCAGCTGGACAAAATTAATGTGCTTTTTCAGAGGAAAGGTGTCAGGTTTCCAGCTAGAAAGAGAAGAATCTACAAAGAGAACTGTGGTGGCCAAATACAAAATCTAGGTGACAAGGAGAAAAGTTGTCTGAAAGTAAGAAAATAAATGAAATAGTAAATTATTTTTCTAATGGTACCACAACTAATTAAAAATTACAAAAAAAAATGAAGAAGAAAAGAAAATCTGTGATACTCACTACAAGACTGTATTCTTGAAACTCCATTTCCAGCACCATGCAAGCTCGAGTCAAAACTCTGACTGTTCCGCACAGTAACCGGAGAACTAATGTTGCTGCTAACAGCAGTGGTACTGGGCATCCGGGCTAGATTAGGCATACTTCTCCGGAGTTTATCTGGAAAAAAAAAAAAAAAAGACAACTTTACTAAGTTCAAAACAGAGGTTTTTTTTTTTTAAATTGTCTCACTACGCAGCTCAGACTCACAGTGATCCTCCTGTCTCAGTCTCCCCAGCAGTGAGATTAGAGACATGCACCACTATGCCCAGACTCAGTCACTGGCTCAGCATGCCCAGGGGCAGGGCTGGCGTAGCATGTGATGCCTGGGACTGAACCCTGGTCCCTGTGCTTGCCTAAACAGGTGCTTAGGCCACTGAGCTGTCTCACTGGCCCTCGAAACTGCAATTTTATGTCAACTAAAACACTTGCTTTCAAAATTTGATAAACAGTATTCCATTTTTTAATAACATAAAGTATCATGTACAATATAAACAAGTTAGTGGAGAATTAATGTCCTGTATAAGAAAATATTCTCTCCATCAAAAGAAATTTACCCAAAAGACTTGCTAAAATCCAAAAAGTTTAAAGAGCTAGGGCCTACCTAATAAGCTGTTTGTTCTTAGTGAGTGGAAAAAAAACATCAAGTCAGGTTCAGGAATAACTTGCAGCCATGTAACTGGAGAACACTAAAAACAATGTTCATTCTGAAAAGCCTAGGAGAGTCAAAACCAACCTACAGCAGATTTGCTGATATATCAAAGTGGAACAAATTAATAAAATGCCAACTTGCCGTTTCTTAACATCATATCCACTCATTACATCAACAGGACTGCATTAATTTCTGGTTGTACCTCTAATTAGTGTGCCCAGTGTTTACATACTTGGAAAAGACCAAAAGATGCTTTAATTTCTCTCTCCTGCTTAAAGTCTTCTTCAGCCACCAAGAGGCAGCAGAGAGCCATATGAAGATCTTAAGATTGCTGAGATTTGATATCAGCTTCAAGATCAACTGGACAAGATATACCTTTCCTTTATTAATAGAAAAAAAATTAAAGTGCGTGGATCAGGTACACTAGCTCAGAAAACAAATCTAAATGCTAAGCCAAAATCTGTTCAAGTCCAAAATGGATTCATTACTTCTCTCCCCTCTACACCGTTACTTCTATGTAACTCAGAGGTCTGTGTTCCCCCCAAATTGTTTCCACCCTACACTCGCAATCCTGCCAGCTTTCCACAAGGTTCACTGAACCTTCCATTGCCACACAGCTCTGGTTACTTCATTCACACTGTCATGAAGTCTCTTACTCGGTCTCCTTGGGCCCTGTCTCCTTCCTGATTCGTCATCTGGATGGCTGTTACGCTCGTCTCAGAACACCTGCACACATCTGGTCATGCCAGCTGAAATCTCTCCAGATTCGTCCCTCTCCTTCACTCCAACTGAAAGACCACGCACCTGAGTAGGCCCAGAAGGGCCCTGCGAGGAGGTGCAGAGTGGGGACTCATCACTAGCCTCATCCTCGCCTGCTACCCCTGCTCCTGCTATGCAGCCTGCTCCTCACCATAGGGAGAAGGCCCTGGACTGGGAGTGTTGCAGGGTTCCAAG